CGATAAGTGCAGTAAAAATTGCTGGTGGGTGTCTTCTTTTTATGCACTTTATATAAAAACCCAGAAAGGTTATAATTTACAAGCAAGGCAAATGTTGCTCGTGATTTAATTGGTGCTGCTAGTGATATATGCAGTGATATGCTATACGCTATGAATAGAAATTCGTAGTTCAAGAAATATGCTTGAATTTAGACCAAATTAGAATGATGTAGAAACAAACAATTTCATTTCTCTCTTGCTATGAAAAGTACACGCGTATATTTTTTATCAAAGACATTTTATTTTCATGGAGTCACCTGACTCATATTGCTGATTTGGTTATCTATACCAATTTATTAATTAGATGTTTCAGATGCGCGAGTTGTGTCAATAATGGAGCGTTTGCGTTCTACAGGTGAACTAAGTCAGCTAGATGCAGCTACCGAATTAGCCGATATGCTACTTTTGGGCAACGAAGAAAGCCTTCCAAATTTACCAATCAAAGACATCGTTCATGCCCTTATTGTATTACTTCAAAAGGAGCATAATTTCGTATTGGTAAGATGGAGTTTCGATTCATCAAAATATTTATTGAAAGGAATGATATTAAAAATCCTATTTCGGAGACATCCGTTCTCTATCGCTTATGATAGTACCGATAAATGTTTTGCATTTCGCACTAGATGACTAAAACCCAACACATATCTTACCAGATTGGTGACATCAATCCACAAGATCAAAATCGATAAAGTCTGCTAATTTCATCTTTCATCATAATTTCGAACAATTAATTTTAGATGCTTACGGCTGCAAGATGTATATCAAATATGCTAGAAGCCTTACCGCGTGCATTACCAGTTGTTATCGATACAGTACCACATCTTCTTGAAAAGGTTTCCATTACCAAAATTTATTTCGATTGAAACATTTCCATTGTTTCTTCACTGCGAAAGAAGATTGGTTAAAAGTTCTGTAACTTGTTAAAAAAAACCCCTGATTGAATAAAAATTGTCACAAATATATTTTAAAAGTCACGGAGCAGTGATAAACCTGCTGACATCTTATTACTGATTATTGTTTTATTATGATGTCGGAAATGAGCTAAAAGAAGACCTTGTTTGCTGAGGAGAATTTAATGTTATGACATGTTAAGTTTATTAATAGCCGCTGCTGCATACTATAAATAGATACCGAGGTGCACGATAATTTTTGATCCTCGAGCTAAACTTTCAAAAAATTATGAAGAGATGAATATTTTTTTTTTGTTCCGTCATTATAGCTCTAAAATTAGCTTATCAGCTTTTATGATATAATGCTTCCATTCTAACATTGACATTGGAACTATGAATATAAATTTCACGAATTGTTAGCAGAATAGCAAGTAATATTAAACGTTTTCTTTATTTTTCCAGTTCTTCCCATTTATTACTATCCTCTCGTTATTTTGGCAAGGGACAAGATAGATTTCGTAAAAGTTTGGATAAACTTTTTAATATAATGTCTCTTACAGTTGAAACGTATCGAATGCATTGATGTAGCGGAACAGTCATTAATGGCGTTGGAAGTGATGTCGAAAAGAAATGGAAAGAATATAATGTCGGCTGTAAGCTTTTTTTACATTTATTGTTAATATGCGATAATGAAGCATATGTTGTAGGCTTTTTATTTTATACCGCAGTATTTTCTGTAATACATTGAACAATAAAGATACAGGCACTTGTCAAATTAAAGCAGATTTCGATATATCCGTGACGACGAATAGAATAATAAGTGACAGTAATCACAAAAAAAATAGTGTGATGATCATTGAAACTAACAGGAAATCTAGTATGAAAGTGATTCATCGAGATATTGATGGATGCTTAATTTTTCTATTTAATGATGCATAAAAATCACATTTGAATAATTTTCAATTTTGAAATTTTTGATTTAGGGTGGCATCGCAGCGACTATATCGCATATTGATTTCTTCTCCGTTCCATCGCAACGTTTAGCATTTCAAATAGCTGCTAATTGTGCGACATATGTATCGGTCAATGATTTTTCTCAAGTGCGTGAATCACTAGCTGATCTTACACAGCGACTTCTGATTGAAGTGAGAATGATGAGTTTTTTTTAGAAATTTATGCATAATGAAAATTTTTACCAATTTTCTGAATTTCCATTCAGAGAAAAAATTCAAGAAAGAATTTCATATTCGGTTGTAATTCAGAAGTATACAAAATTGATATAAGTTGTAATCATTTTTCAGGATAAACGATGCCTAGAATCAGTTTGTGTATTATTTTGCCGTCTTGTAGACAATATGCGTAATCATGCTGATAAGTTACGAGAAATAGCGGGCCAAAATCATGCATTGTTGAAAAATGTGCAACAATTACTACTGGTACAACCTTGTGCAGTGGGGCCAAACACATTCCAGTCTTTAATACGGATGTTACGTTCAATGGCTTCCAGGTGTAGCGATCTGGCAGTTGCACTGGTTTATATGGGTTAGTCTGTGCTGTTTTCTTTCTGCATGAGGCATTTGTCTAGATGGATGCAAGTAACTATGATTGGCGATGTATTAATATTATATAATCAGCTGATTAAATAACCGAATTGATAAACAACTCAATGTAAATGAATATTAAGCTTATGTCATCATATTTATTAGTTCATTATTCGGAATCATTTTTTTACAGATTTTGCCAGAACTATCAAATTTTTGATTGTTGGATCAAAGGAGACTGATCATACAACTTTTGAAATTGTTGATCGCCCACCACAGCACTTACAAGAATTAGTTTATTTAGCTGGGTTAGTTTTCATTTTCTTATTTCACTTTCCTCTTATCTTAAAAAATCTTACTTTTTTAATACCAAATATTTCATGTGCATGATCTTAATGAAGATTTATATTCTGTGAAAGTGATATCAGTTACCAAACAACATGACAGTGAATGATTTGTTAGAAAAAATTGTCTTGTTTAATTTTCGAGCAAAAAATGCAGCATAAATGTTGTTATGTATTCTTCTTTTTTTACAGAGAATTGATGCCACGTTTACCGGTTGACGGAATCTTTGAAATAGACAATGTAATGCTACGTTCGCATGGTACTTATGATTTCCAACCGACGTTGTGGTATTGGAAAGATGACTCTAATCAGTGGTTGCCATTTACTCATTTCGACTCACGACTTATTGAGGTATCTTTAATATTGTTCTTTTAACAATTTTTTTGTTGGAACTAATAAATAAAAGCTTAGTTTCATAAGAATGTTTACGCATTTAGCTACTGTGATGGAACCATTGCTTCCATACCTCCATAAATGTAGTGTGATGGTTTTCTCAAAATTTCATTTAAAGAGGAAGAAACTATGTGTGAAGTTGAAGCCGAACACAAGGATGTTTAAATGAATAAAGGAATGGATTTTAGTATATTCTAATTGTTATTTTTTTTAGTTAAGAATACCTGAAATTTGAATAAAAATTTTTTATATAGCATTGTCGAAATCATATGTTTTACAGATGGCGTATACAACAAGTGAAACGGAAGTAAATCTTCAAATTAACGGAAATGTTTATAAAATTGATTTGCAACGAATGGTACAACGAAACCATTCGACGGGAAAAGAGAGAGCTCTACAACGACGAGCATCCGTTTTCAGTAAGTTCTATCGGAGTTTTGTTATTTAAGAGACAATGCAATTATTTCTCAAATTTTGGATTCTGCGTTTTATCATATTAGTTTTCTGTTGGGCATTCGCTGGTCACATTGTGACTTTAATAGAAACTTAATAAAGTTGATTAAAACGACTACTTCGTTTTTTTAGCGATTTCAAGTGCTAAATCTTTATGAATCGAATAATTCCAGCATTTTGGCAATGTGGCATACTGATTATACGGATAGTCCAGATGATTTTATCAAGTTGTAAATTAAAAAACTATTCGAATATTTCGAAATGTAGCCAAATATCTATAACACTAAAATATATTTTGTTGTGTTTAAAAATCTTTTTCCAGAAAGTAAAACATCTCCAGAAGAAGATCGTCGTTTGGAATTGATGAAAACAGAACCAGTGCTTCTGGAACAAGTTGTGCAGTTACTTCTTCCAATATTAGTGGAAATCGACGGCAGTTCAGTAAGTTATCTTTTTCTTAAAATTCTTTTTATATTTGCTGGAAAATTTGATCGGTTAAAGTAATTTTTGCAACTTTGATTCTTATTCCTTTCCAGAGTGGTCCGGCACTTCGTTATGAAAGCTTGCGTGTAACTTTAAGAATGATTTATCCATCAGATGTAAGAGTGCTGAAAGATATTCTGGCGAATCTTCCTCTTGCTGGACATATCGCTAGTGCTTTAGCTAGTGCACGAAGTAAGGATCTTTGTGTTGTGGCATCGGCGTTGCAGTTAGCTCATCTGCTGCTGGATAAATTCCCGGATATGTATGAACCATTATTCAAACGCGAAGGTTAATTTAACTTCCTTCTTTATTATACATTAATTTTTATGGATTGTGAAAGAGCAAAGGACAAACGGATTGCATGTTATGCGATACCTTTTACTGTCTTTTGAAGTAGACACGAAGCCTACTTCAAACGATAGTAAAAGATGCCGCATTTTTCTAGCAGTAATTTTCTTTGCAACTTTTTTCATCTTTACTTTTCCTACTGGGAAGAAAGTTTTGCAAAAAGCAAGAAAAATTAATCCTCTTTTTAGTCAGATAATGACTTTTTTCATAACTAGTTGAAGTTTCAAGGTGTCGCACACGAAATTGAAAAGCTATCTAAAATGAAGCTTGAATCACCAGTGTCAGCTCCATCAACACAAACAGCTACATCAGCTTGTGAACAGGATAATACAGCTGCAACTACCGGAATCCGAACGCGAAGTGGCACAAAAACACGGGCATCATCGGAATTAGTAGAAGGAGCATCATCAACCAGTAAATTTCTTTAGATGATTTTTCCTGAACTGTAGTGTGGAGAAAGTGCAAATAATAGTCATATTTAGTTTCATTTAATATGATTTTATTTTGCATTGTTCGTGGCTGATTAAAATTTGGATAAAAACATTGAAGAAGCGTGCGATATGCGCTACGTAGAAAATATCAACACCGATCACTGACTGCACGCAGAGCAGAGCATCAGGGTTATTTCATTATTCAATATGCACGAATATTTTCAAAGGATGATGGTACTATAATTTACCAGATAAATTCAAGATCTGGATGGTTTCAGCCAAGCAAAGTACAAGAATTCGTAATATCACACAGTTAGCAGTATCCACTGCAGAAGCGGGTCCAAGCTCAAGTAATGCTACCCGTGTTATTGTTTCACCGAATGGTGGTCGTCATCGTCGTAAAACGTCACCGGAGAGGTTTGGATCCTCTCTTTCTGATTTTGCAGCTATTATAAACTTGGCAATGCGGAGTAGTTGATTTGCACTGATATCTACGGCAGAAATGATTTGGAGAAATTTTAAATCAGTTACAAACTGATCGAATTGGTTCTGGCTTTGGAACAGTTTTGTTTATAATAGCTGTTATGTAATGCATTTCACCCGCAACACTTACCATCATAATCCATACAATAAGTACATTTCACTGATCGCTCACATCATGTTCATATTTGAATGAGTCTGTGATAGCTTATCACAACGTCATTATCGCTCTATTTTATCTGCAATCTTAGCACTACAATGTCCTCCAACCGAAACTCCATAATTTCGGAGCTAGCTCATTCAATGATTCCCCTACTTTTTGAACTTATTTTTTCCACTAGTTAGATTTTTTGTTCATTGCTCTGATCATCGTCAGTTTGTCAGTTTCCGGATTTCAGGCAAAGCTCAGCTTGTCAGTCGTTATGGATCCTTTTCAATCTGTTCTTTAAGTAAATAAATGTTGATGGAAACGTACTTGTTACCTTACATTTTTATCGTGAAGTAGCAGTTAGATATCACCGATGGTTTTATAATATTTATATGCATGGATATAATAACATTATCCTAGTTGCAGTCCTATATCTCGCAAGGAATCACGCCGTAAAACAACACCTTCGAATTTTCTTCATACGTTACGCTTGCCATCATTTCGCATGCCGGGCACATCATCATCAACCGGGCATTCGCCACATGATAGCACATCACCAAGTAACACACTCTCATCATTTTTCACTGCTATCGGTCAGTCTCAGACAACATCGGTACATCATTACCCTTCAGGTATTTCTTATTATTATCCGCTATAATCGGATGGTTGCTCTGATGCTTTGACTGGGTGTAAGTTACGTGTGTTCATTTGTTGATTTGATCCCAAGAAATTCTCGTCGTTTTAATAATTTCACGAAATGGATTTTTGGAATGTCAAGAATTTCGTCTGCTAGTTTGATTCATCTACTTTAGGATCTGGTACTTCGGCAAATGCACCATTCGACAAGTCTTCAGCTCATACGTCTACATCCCGTGGACGTATTTCAACATTCACGCCATCAGCAGCGGTGGGAAGTTCATGTTCGGCTGTTTTGATGCAATCGTCGTCTACTGGTCATAGTTCGTTTACGATGCCATTATCCTCTACCGGCGGATCTACTCTAAATCATCAACAACGTGAAGTAATCCGACAGTGGATACGTAAAGAGGGTTCGTTGTTTTCCCAAATAGTGTCTATATGCTTTCACTTTATTGGAAAGCAACTTGTTAAATTCTAAAGCTTTACTAATTGATTTCAACATCTAGTCTGTTAAAGAAAGCAGTGTTTATCTCACCCTTGGTTTCTCATTTGGGTGATGTTCTTTTATGATATTTTTTGCCGTAATAGTTTATGTGAGATCATGATAACTGAAAGTTCATTGATAGTAGAAGTTGAAATATTCAGACATTGTCCCCATTCTAGCTGAATATCTGATACAAATGTATTTTTCAACACCATCGACTGGTATTGATGGTTCAACTCCGTCGCTTTTAAGTCGTTTGACAACTATTGCTGCATCTCTTGCTAGTGAAAAAGATGTTGGAAGCGCTGCACTTACTGGATTTAAGGTAGGCCTGTTTCTTCAATAAAGAATCGCCAGTTTGCTTTATTGGAAGGTATGGGAAGAATAAGATGTGGAAGATTGAGAGGGAAGGTGAGAAATAGTTGAAATTAAAAATATGTCGTGTTTAATTTACAAATTTTATTATTTACAGATAATTTTGTTAGAAAACGATGTAAGTGCCTTTGAATTGAATCATAGCGGTGTGCTTACTTCCCTTTGTAAATATATTACGAGTTCCTCACCATCACATCATCCACCGCGTAAACTTCGTCTCAAACGTTTCGCCGCAGTTTTTATGTCCCTCACAGTAAGTTCTATACTATAAATATTCGTCCAATAAAGAATGGCATATGCTCTGTGAGATGCTATTGCATTTTTTCTAAGACATGGGAAGGAAGCTTTTTTATACTCCCTTTCACTCAGTGAAGTATTAAGTAAAAGACTTACCACAGAAAATATGTATTTATATAAATGTTGACGTAAATTGCTCATAATATTATCAGTTTGTATAATTAAGGTAAGTCACATGCTATGTAGAGATATAATATTTGTGATACATCTGTTATGACAGATCGTGAAGTGTTTCAAAGAAATTGTATTTGTTAATGCTTAAAAAAATTATAACCGTTTATCGATGCTTTTTACACGAAGAAAGTATATTTTCGGAACTTTTTTAGCCGGATAATCTAAGACCAGCAGATGAATCGGAATGTTGGGTAGCTTTCGAGACTCTTGTGACGAAGTTGCTTGCATCAGTGGCCCAGCATGAACAGTTCCAGGTCTTTCTTCTTTATAATTTGAATTGTGGTTGAAATAGTTTTTAGTTAGATGATTAAAATTTCAATTGTTTGGTAGACCTATTAGTGCATGAATCTAAAATATAAAAATAACGGGAAGAGGGAAATTGTTGCTCTATCATCAAATTTTCGATCAATCATTTGGAGTGTTGAAAATCCACAGCAATACATGTTAATAAAGCTTCGAAATTTTTAACCAATATAATACTGAATAATGATTATGGCATCATTTATCTAGTATGATTGACAAAGTACTTTTTTTTCAGGTGAAAGTTACTGATATGGGTGGAATCGTAACGGGTAGTTCGGGAGGAGCTTTGCGCGGTTCACAAGCATTACGCTTTTTTCAAACTCATCAAATTCGTGTATATTTTTGTTGCCATTTCATATCTGTTATGTCTTTTTCAATTTTTAAAAACTGAGTTGCAAGAAAATTATTTGGAAAGTGAATATATACATATTTTTTTCAGTGTAATTTGAAGCGGCATCCGACTTGCAGAGATTTGAAAGAATGGAGGCATGGACATGGATCTATAAAGGTAAAAATAATTACTGATCTATAAAGGTAAAAATAATAACAGGGTAGGCTAATAAGATTGAATCTAAGATAAATCGTGGACACTTGACAGTGGTATTGGAAAACACACTTCGCTGAATGACTTGATAATTGTATTCATGGGAATAAAGATATATTTTCCTATACAGGTAGATCCGTTCACTTCAATTTCGGCTATTGAAAGATATTTGTTGGATCGTGGAATTGGTTACGTGCGTTCGGAAGACTCATCTGGTGATGAAGATGGAAGCGATGATGACGAAATGCCTTCTGTAAGTTAATAATCAAAAAACAATGATTTTAGATATTTTAAAAACTAAATTTAATTTGGAGTTGTGTTATAGGAAGGTTCGTTATCAGGTGGAAATTCCCAGCCCAGTCGTATAGAAATCTTAATAAATGATGAAAAAGTCCCAGGTCATATGTCTATTCTACAGGTACATTTCATATCTTTTTTCACTTTGGTAAAGATTTCGGAAAATTTTTTTAGACTTTCTTACGTGCCAGGTCCGTATGGAACTGCCATGCTGAGATGAATGAAACTGTTGATAGTTATGTGTAAGTGAAGTTTTCGGAAAGAAACTGAAAAGATCGTTTTCTTCCCTTTTTATAGGCACTAAGACAATTTGGGCAAGTAAATCTGAGCGATAACGCGGATCATTTCGCCGTTGCAACGGGTATATGGGTGAATACGCATACCCTCTACTACCGGGCTGCTGCACCGGCACCATCTGAAGCATCTGAAGAACCAGCAACAGCACCATCCACAACCAAGTCACCGTCCGGGAAATCTGAAAAACGGGAAAAACGTCCAAAGATCGACGAAAAACTATGGATAGGTTGTGGTTTTATTTTTCATTGGATTTAATTACACACTAAATTTTGGTCAATTAACTGAATTACAAATAAAAGTTAGGATGGTTGGATCTCACTGATAATACTTGTTGCTCAAATGATTTTTTTTAAGCTGCTCAGTTTTCATCATTTTCGTTCTAATAGTAAGGTCAGATTTGGTGAGGGAATTTCAAGCACTGGAAATTTATTTTTATTTTTTAGAATTTAAAAATTTGAACTATGAATTTATCAGTTACTATGATTGCATTATTGTAAGTCATTTAGATGGGGAAGTTCCGGTTAGCAGATGTCCTTTGGATTCATATTTGACGAATATGTTACCAGTCGATGTAGATGATCCCTGTGTGCCTTCTCTTGTTCTTCTTCGATGCCTTTATGCACTGAATCGTTTTTGGTGGAAATTGTTCGAAGATGAGGATGTACCACCTACCAGTCATGCGCCGCTTCTGCCAAACACGTAGTGTTTTGTTATTAGAGGTGTCAAATGAAATATATGCTGCAAGAGGGGGCATGGGGAAGTATGTCAACCTATGCTAAATTTGGAAAAGTTACTGGCGAGAGAGCTAAGCCATTTGTCTTGGAAATAGTGAAATATTTTACTTAAGCCTAAAGATATCAATTGAATAATATCCACTTAGACTGGAAGATAATAACTGAATAATGCCCATTTTATTTAGAGCTTTCCACTCATCAAAGCTTAATGCGAAAATGGGACGTCAGTTATCAGATTTCCTATCTGTCGCAACTCAGCAAATACCCCAATGGACTGGTGATCTAATCAAAGCAGTGTAAGTTATCATTTTTTTTTTTTCATTGAATAATGAGATTGGGTTTTGCTAGCGGTAAAACATATCGAACGGAGTTCTCAACTAATATCGCTATCTCGTCAGTATATGGGAAGTAGGTTGGTAGATGATGTGTAAAACCATTAGTTAAACTAACAGAATAAAGTTGCTTAACGCAACTGACATTGTAGATTATGTTTGGGAGAACGCAGCTTTTACTTGCTAATGGGTGGCTGTGACAAACTACTCTAGTCTTAAGAATTGTTCATAATTTCGTTGTGTTTTATAAAATTTATTATCTTTAGGCCTTTTATCTTCACATTCTCATCTCGACGAAACTACCTGTATTGTACAGCTTTTGGACGTGATAGAGCTCTGATGCATCTTGTCAACCAAACAGATGGCGGTCAAGGTGATAGTGAAAGTGGTCGTTTGACACCACGTCTTGAGAGGCGTAAAGTATCGGTGCGTCGGGATGATTTGCTTCGCCAGGCGGAACAAACCCTTCATCACCTTGGATGCAGTCGGTTAGGGATAAATTATACTATATGTTATATATTTTGTGTCTTAACAACTAGCAAAGAAAATATTTTCTTTCAGTGCAATGCTTGAGGTTGGTTTTGAAGGAGAGGCAGGTACTGGTTTCGGTCCAACGTTGGAATTTTATTCCACTGTGTCACGTGAGTTACAAAAGGCATCGCTACGTCTTTGGCATGGTCGTACCATGGCTGCAGCAGCTGATGGAAAAGGTAATTTATTTTACGATTATTGTAAAATGTGCACTTTTTGGACCGTTAATGTTACGTTTATTACTCAAATATGTAGTTTTCAATTATTAAGTTTCTTTTCGGCTACTATTTTTCAGATGGACCGACGACGAATTATATTACAGCGCCTGCTGGTCTTTATCCCGCTGTCTTTTCCTCACAAAGTGCTAAACAACGTGATGCCCGTTCAAAGAAATTCGAATTTATTGGACGTTTGTTAGCGCAAGCCCTAATTGACTCGCGCATGGTGAGCATTTTTATTCCATATTGATTTAATAGATAAGGGAAGCTGTTGTTAATAATTAATGGTCTAATACAGCAGATTATATTTGGTATCAAATGTCTAGTTTAATTTTTCAAGTCATAAATGGACAGATTATTTAACCTTTCAAATTATGAACCACTTTTGGAATAGCAACATTGTGTAGTAGATAGCATAAATTTCAGTATAAATCACTATTAGACTTTTGAGCCACTTGATATATAGTAATTGTGTTTTCTATGAAACTTATTTTTAGTTGGATATACCGCTTAATCCAGTATTTTTCAAATGGCTTTGCGGAGAAGACAAAATGTTCGGCTTAAGTGATTTAGAAGTTTTGGACAAAAATTTATATCAATCTTTACGCTCACTAATTCTTACAGATCCAAATGATTTCAATTCACTCGAGCAGGTAAATTTGGAGATTTTTGATATCACGTTTGCGATTGTATTATTTTAACTTACTCAGACTTGTCAATCTCATGATTTATTTCAATTCATTAAGCTCGATGGCAAAAATGTTAAATTTGATAAATTTAAATAGTCTATATAAAGAAATTAAAAAACTGAAAGAAGTTAAATGTGGTGATTTCATATCTTATTTTGATAATTTTGATTTTTTGCTTGTAGTATTTTACTTTACCGGGTGACGAAAATTTCGAGCTTATCAAAGGAGGAAAGAATCGCTTGGTGACCAGTTCGAATGTAGTTCAATTTGTTAAGGTTTTTTTTGCAATTTCTAATCCATTTTAATTTTCGGAATCTTTTATTGTGGTAAACTGGTGAGAACAATATTAATTCCATCTCCTATTTTTCTCTAAAAATAATCGAACTGTTGTTGGTTGCTATAAATGGTACAATGTTAGGGAAATCAAGAGATTGTTCATGATTCTAAAATCTTCTTGCAAAATCAAACAAGACATTAATCTGCTGTCCTTTAAATTAAAGTAATCGGTACCAAAATTAATAACTTTTTCAGTTTCACTTCTTAAACATGTTAAAGTAATGGATTATTTCTATAATATATATGTGACTAAGTTATTTTATGTTATAAAAAATGGAAACTACAGTAAGAAATATTGGTTTTTAGTTGGTAGCCCATTGGCTGTTGATCGAAGGCGTACGACGTGAGATGGAGGCAGTACGTCGAGGCTTTGAAACAATTATCAAGATAGATGATTTGGCTTCTTTCACTCCTGATGAGGTTGCTTTACATTTTGCCATCTATATTTGATAATAGTGTGAAAAGGTTTTCTTATAGTACTTTCAGCTTGGGGTACTGTGTCTTGATGTATTACACAAATAAGATTCATTTGAACAATCGAACGAATCTTATTTGCGTAATAGACAACATAAGATTTTTAAGCGACGCAGATTTGTTTAAAGTTAAAATGGTAGGAGAACAAGCAACAAGCGACGGAGATTCATTGATAAACAAACAATTATTCTGTGGTTTTTTTTCATTGAATCATATTTTTTCCTCTGAGTATGTATTTGTTGTCCTGCAGATGGAAGAGCTATTTTGTGGTTGTTCGGAAGAGACATGGAAACGTACATGGAATGAATCAGCATTACAGTCAGCTATAAAACCAGATCATGGATATACGCACGATAGCGACCAGATACGGTGGCTTATACAGATGCTTGCGTCTTATGATAACCAACAGGTTTTTTTGCTTCATTTATAGCTAAAATATTATTGCGAATAAATTAGTGACTTATTACTAATGAGTATTTCACAGAGAAATCAATTTATATTATTTAAATGTGAAGCCGTGGACAATAAATAGAGAAGCCACGATATTCAAGTTTGGAGTTATCGGTACATTGCTACTAACCTGTAAAGCTTTTTAAAAGAAGAAAGAGTGATATTTTTTGCTTCACTTTGTCAGACTCATGTTTAACTCTGGACTAGTGATCAGAATAGTTTTAGCCTTCTGTTTGATAAACTGCGTTCGGCAATTTTTGTTTCAATAGCACGACAGAATATAATCTCAAAGGATTTTTTTTTGCATTTAGTATATTTTTGTTTTTGCAGCAAAGAAAATTTCTACAGTTTGTGACGGGTTCACCAAAACTTCCAGTTGGTGGTTTTCGTTCATTGAATCCCCCATTAACAGTTGTGAAGAAATCGGGTTCCTATGGAAATGGCGACGATGAACTTCCATCGGCGATGACTTGTTACAATTATCTAAAAATTCCGGCATACAGTACCTATGAAGTATTCCAAAAACGATTTGATGTAGCGTTGCGTTTCATTTATAGTTTCCACCTAACGTAGTTAAATCTTTGAAAGTACCAAAATTTCATTACCGCGTTGATATGTGTCACTATTATTATTTTTCCATGGTATTATCATCGTTTCTATCACTCTTTTAAAGTTAGTTTTTTTTATTGTGCTTTCTCAATTTCCTGAAGTGAATAATGTTTTCTGTCAGTACATTGTTTTTCTGGGATACTGGTCATCACTGTGTTTACTCTAATTTTTCTCATTATCTGTATATTTTTGAGTAATTTTGGTGGCAAAAACTTTTATATTTCGCCATAGATTAATTGAACTGAACTTGAATAATAGTAACAGTATTTTTGTAACAGTAGCAATAACAATTATTTATAAATGATGGTGAAATCAACATTAATACTCTAATTATCGCATCATCCGCCTATTCCATCATTTTCTGTTTATGTTATTTCAGTGGTTGTATGTATATTATACTTTATTTTCAAAAGTATTTGATGAATTTTTGAGCTTTCTGTTAGCGGTACTTCCAGTTGTGAATTATTGGTTAATTAATTAAACGATGTTAATTGAATCATTGGGCGTAATCTTACTATCCTTTGTCATAGCTTATTTCCATTCTTTATTTGATTTCGGAATTTGGAATCGTTTTAGCGTACTAGGGGATTTTGAAGTTTCGAGATTTACCAAAGTATTATCATGAAGTTTGAGTTGTATCGAATTCTTACTGTTGAATTTTAAAAATTTGAATATTGCTTCGCTTTACGGGTTGGTTTTCAGGTCAGAGGAAGGTTTTAGGTTTCTTTCATTTGTGATATAAATAAATGTGACACACTTCTTACAACTGGAGTGATCGTAAGCTATAAATTTCAGTAACCGTTATTATGGAATGTAGAATTTTACCATGGAAATTGGGTACAATAGGTACACTGGAAAGCCACATATATTTTTCTTTGGATATAAGCTCGGATTTATGATTTTTCACTCTAAAATTTCTTATATATTTTGGCAGCTTATTGTTCAAAAATGGCACACTAAAGTGTAGATAATTTCAATAGTCTTAATAAGAACGCTGAAGTTGATGTGAGTTATACAGTCTAGAAAAATGATATTTTTATTTTCTCTTTATATCCATGTGTTTCTTTTTATATCACATTTCCAGTTTCTTTTTTTCTTTACATCGTTATTAGTTGTATAATATATGAACGTTGTTGAGATGTCATTTCTCTTGAGATTATTGAAAATGAAAAAAACAACTTTTGACGAAAATTATTTTAAGCAATTATTTGCAAAATTCATTATTGTATATCATCGTCATTATCATTATTATTGGTGGATGAACAACAAAATTTGATAGCTACAATTATTATATACTATTTGTATATGCAACAATCTTTTTCAGCTTTCATCTCGTAAATGATTTGATTCATAAAACATTTTATTGTTTGCTGAACAGAATTAAACTTTTTTTTCTTTCTGTTTTTCCTTTCATTAACGCTAATATGGTTGACGTAAATTGCATAACTCGTATCTTTTTGAATGTCTTGTTGAGATGTTATGGCAAGTAGTGAATTTCTATATTAAACTGAAAAATAGGATGAAAATGTCTGGCCTGGGCAAGTGAAAAAGGTTAAATTATCTAGAGGAGATATGCATGCTACTATTTAATTATACGTTCATTAGATTACTGATTAGAGTTGAATGTAATTGGTAAAGAATTTCATATGTTAATATGGAATCAAGATCACGTTTGTTTGATAAATTCAGCGTTATTTTCTGTCCAAAGTTTGCTATATAATCCAGGAAGTAAAAATGAATATTTACCCGGAATCTGTGCTAATTGAAATCAGAGTTGAGAAGATGAATGTAAGATTGCTAAAATTGCGGTAGTATAGCAGATCGAAGTTACTACTGCTGTTTACGTAAATCGAATTAATCCAAACTTGTAGAAAAGCAATGAATACCAATGAGATAGAAGGCATGTGGTGAGAGGCAACAGTTAAGGCACAGAAATATGGTTATTGACAGGAGAAATTTAAGCTCTTATCAGACTTCCGTCCAGTTTCATGCATAGGATAACAGGCTGGTAAGCTGATAAGTGCCAAAAGTTGCCTGTTATCAATAAATGTTATTATAAACAATAGAGTAGTATTATTTCAAGAAATGGCAAGAAATAGGGTAATATGTTAAAAATAATATAGCACAGAAAATATATTAAGTCTAAATTTCAAAATTAAGTGATAAATTTTATTTTTACAAAAATATTAATAAGGCAATGTGTTTCGCGAAAAATTAACAAAACATTTGTAGTTGGTGACCCAAAAAGACAATGTGCTGGCAAAATTCATGATAATTTAGTTTTTTGGGAGGAGCAAAATTTGCCATTAAGTATTAGCTTTGACATGACATAAAGAGCTAAGGACAAGTTGAATAACTGCTAAATCTTAAAAAGCTTAAAAAAGAAAAGACGGCGGGAAAGATGAAGAGGTGGTATATGGCATTTGAATGAGAAAATGTAATGTGTAATTTATAATTTTCGTTCAGCTATTTGTTGAACATTATCACCGCTATCATTATCACTGCCATAACTGTTGTTGTCATCGTTTTGTCATAATTATGTCTCTTTTTGACTTTCTTGAGTGGAAATTCTGTACATGTATATCTGCATGTATCCATGAGTTATGTGTCCATTAGCTGTGGAAAGTTTTAGCTCTAAAGTAGTTTTCACTCCAAATGCATTCCATTTATGGTTTAGACCTTTAACGGCCCATCAATTATGCCAAAATAACTGGTTAGAACTCAGCTTATCATGGAAATAATCGTACTTCGTTTGAATTGCAATAAATGGGAAAGAGAAGAGAAAAAAATAAAAAGAAGGTTAAAAAATGAAGTCACATCAAGACATCTCTCATTTCTTACAACGATATTGAAATGAAAAGGCAAAAGATTCCATAATAATCGATCATACAACAATCGAATAAAATAGAGGAAATGTAAAATATTGGAGAAAGGATGTTAATCACTTTTGAACAGGTTTGATGGTAAAAGTTGAAGGAAGAGAATTAGCTTTGAACGGAAAAGATTTGTCACACTGTTCATTTATCAGATCAGACAAATGAACAATATAACAAACCTCTTCCGTTTTTCATCAGCTTTTCTCCTTTTTATTTTTGGAAGAGAATGTATATATTTTGATGATAATTGCGGTTAATTTGGTTATTTATTTAATTCAAAATTTTGTCTAAGAATAAAATGAATTTTTATTTTAGGAGTAAAGTAAATTTTAGTTTTGGGATGGAATGAGTAGTTTTTGACGAGTTCAAAATATGATTGAGTTGTGGAAAGAATAGAGATGTTATAGCTATATTTGCATACAGAATGATTTGCTTGTCAGTTCCAATTTTTTTCTTATGTCCAAGGAATCTTTTATTAACGAATATTTAATATCCTTCCATATGATTTCAAAAAATTTTCACGTTCGTATGCGTGAATTATGCGTTAACTATCAAATATATTTTGATATGTAAAATCAAATCTAAACTTTACAGAATGCAAGTGGTGAGCTAACTTATGTGACTTGGATTTTGTATAGCAAAATTTTACGTTGCTACTTTAGCATTATGGTAAATATAAGTTATAAGAAAAAAATTGGAAATGTTGAAGGAAAAGTTGAGCAACAAAAATAGGACATTGCTAATAATATAAAAAATCAAAATTAAGTTGATATTATCCGACGAGTTTATCAATTATTACATATTTCGATTTTATTAGGAAAGATTATTCTGTGCCATATTTAAGTTGTTTGACTTGTAAATTATTTTCTTGATATGCTGAAAAATGAATAAAGACATGCATCAAATGTGAAAGCTTTGACGAATGTTGAAAGCAGCCATTTAAAATCCCCGATAATACAAAAACTTTATTCATTTATCCATTCTCTTATCATATATTTCTTTTCTGCCGAAATTCAAATAGCTAAAGTAAAATAATGCTCAGAAAAGATAAGTATTACTTGAATGTTCTTGAAATTTAGGTCTCCACTTATTCTACGCTTTTTTCCGGTAATTTGAAATATTTTTCAGAGAGAATAGTTTATACAGTGGAATTCATCTTTAAATTTATATTTTATTTGGAGTTAATGAGGTAATCATTAACAGATTGCTACTTTTATTTATTCATACATTCTTCTTACATTTCTCATCTTTTTCCATTTCTACCATTTCACTGAATCGTGGTTTATATTTCTTTTTTTCGGTGCATGTAAACTGAATTTAATTGAAAAGAGAATAAAATAAACCGGATTTTTCTTTTTTTGGATTATGAATAATAATTTCATTTCAAAGAAATTTGTTACAGCTTCAATTTCTTTTCCGTATACATAATAAAATCCGTGTTCTTCCAATCTTAAATGAAAATCAGCAGTCTTCAATGAAATATGTTAAATTTCAACTTCAATTATATCTTTGCATGGGAAAAATTAATTTCTAACTAGTTATATTATCAAATTCAATATTTTATATGTTTGCTGTCATTTTAATTATTTCTGCTATATTTCCATTCTTTTTTTTACATACAAGTTGAATTTTCTTTAACGAAAAAGTTAATATGCAGCGAAGTTATCACACATCCGTTCGTATATTTTTCCCCATTCTAACAAAATTTTAAATTAAATAATTCATATTGAATGACGCAATCATTAAAAAAGTATTTTTGTATTTGTTTATTTATCACGCGCCTCCCATTCCTTTCATTATTATTTATGTCAGCGAAATTATCACACATCTGTGCATATATTTTTCTTCATTCCAGCAAAATTTTATTTTCTTCAATTTTCAAATTTTTCCAAAAAAATTTT